ATACAGTAGACATTGCTTCATTGGAATTAAATACTTTGAGAATGGCTTCAAATACAACAATTCATGATTTACGAGTTAGTGTAATACCTACGATATTAGGGCAAGTCAATATTGCCAATTTTTTAACTAGTACAGAAGATGTAAATATTGTTCAATATAAGCATTGTCATATTGTTTGTGATTTACAATTATTAATATATATATATATCATATATTAATTATTCAGATATTGGATCAATGGGGGCCGCTTATTGGAAAATTAATCCATTCCAAACAAGATCAAATCGATGCTTTATATATTTTGCAGGTATACCTCTGACAACTTTTGTTACTATTACTACATTATTTCAAAGAAATTAAAATTGTCTATTAATTAATGTAAATTAATAATGTAGGACCATTGTGCGAAAACACCGAATCATTCCAAACTTTTCGCTCCGGCAATAAAAAAGCTATATTTTTTGGACGTATTGGATGAGGAAGCAATTCTGGAATGGAATTCATCTGATCTCACTGATGGGGACCCTTCAAAATCTAATATAAAAAAGCGGGTACGCTGTTTATTTTTTATTTAATATATTTAGGGTATTTATGCTAATTTTTTATGTTTTAGGTGGCACCATTTATAAAATGGTTGGAAGAAGCTGAAGTCGAGGATTCTGATGATGATGACTAAAAACAATAGTTCACCTACGTACGAAGTACGAACAATTATTCCCTATAATTCTGGCAATCAAATTTCTAGACCAAGTGTAACATGATTATTGAAATAATAGATCCGTTTTGTTTTATAAATATGTAATAAAGTTGCACGTAAATTAAAGTTAATAAACTGTATAATAGGTGAGATTATGCCTAAAGTTTGAGGATAATGACATTCGCATAAAGTGAAATGTTTTAATTCAAATTGAGATTCAATAAAACGAACATCTCTATATTTGAAATCAGGTAGTCTGACCTTTATCTGTGAACATTCACATTAAAAATGAATAAAATGAAAAGCATAAAGATCAATATAAATGATTATTTTTTTTAAATAGTTAGCAGACATAATAACAATAATAATAATGGTAATAATATAAACACCTTTTTAATATGTCGACAAATTTGCATCAATATGGAAAAATCTTGATCACAAACAAAATCACTAGCCAATTCAATTCTTCGCGTAAAGTTGAAATATGATAATTTAATCTGTCATTATCCATATTCATAACGAATAAAAGAGAATCAAATCCAGGTGAATATTTAGCAAATAAACGAAGCAAAGCATGTATAATTGCATTATAGGATTATTATCGGACGATTAAATAACACACCATTCTTGAACCGAAATTAGATGAAAAGAATCAAGACTTCTGCTAAGTAAAAGATGAAAAGGTTTATTCCATAATATTTGAAAAGAATTAACGCACTAAGCGCGATTAACTAAAATACATGAATGTAAATTATCTGGGTCATTCTCGAAATGGTATAAAGAATCTTAGATGGAGGTCGTAACATCAACAAATAATTTGATAACTATTTTTCAAGAATTTTTTTTGTTTTTACTCGAGACAGAGGAACAAGACGACGATTTAAACATGTGTTATAATACTTTAGAGATTACTTATGATAAATCTTACACGTAATTAGTAAATAGTAATTTACCTCTTCAAAAATATAATTTAGTTTGGATAATTACTACGTTGCTAAACTTTTATGCATTTAGATACATTAAAATAACAATAAAAATCAGTGCTTATAATATTGTAGTGTAGTGTTTGTAGAATAAAAAACATATTCGATATTAAACTTTGATGTATAGTCTAAGTTATCGAAAACTTGCAGCAAAAAAAAACTTTATTTTGATAAATTTAATTTTTTTTAATACTTGAATTAACATTTTGTTTTTTTACATTATACTTATTTGCAACGATATTTAATATACAATTTTATTTATAATAATATTTTAACAAACTTTATTTACAACAAAATTTCGACTTAAAACATCTAACATAAATAAAACTTTATTTATAATTTGACAAAAACTTCAAACTGTTATATCTTCGAAACGATAACTTCAAAGCGATCGAATAAAGTATTAAGTTCCTACCCAGTAAAAAAAAAGAAAGGTGTGAGTGATCGAAAAAACAGGTGAACACGGTACAAATTAGGTAATCGTCACAAAAATTTTTCCCAGGCGTGAATGACGATCAAAAAAAACACTGTAATCTAATTGGTTAATATTCGCGTATCAATTTTAGTAATGAAATACCCGAGAAAATAGCTGTGAAAGAATAGTTGTGAGAATAGCTGAAAAATAGTTGTGAGTATAGTACATAGTTTGGTTCTTATAAAAAAATTGCGTTTGGTTATTCATTATAGATTCTGCTAGTGTCTACTGGGATATTCGGTCAACTACGTAAATCAACTTTTTTTTCAATAATTTTACATACTTATAATAATTCTACTATAAAATATGTCTGCTAACAAAAATTTAACATCAATAAAGACATTTAACGATACTTTATTAATTCTATTATAAATATGTTCTTTATTCTTTATATCTAAAATTAATCATCCGAAGTGTTCATAGGTTTGACTGGCTGATGCAAATCGATTGCCTTAGTAACTTATTTATACGTTTTAAAGTACTCTTTTAGAGCACAACGTTTCACTAATAAAAAAAAATTGTATAAAAGAGCATTTTATATCATTTTATAAATCTAAATGATATATAAATATAATACTTGATTCAATCCGTATAAAATAGCTTGTAAGGTTTGATTAGGATATTGATTCCGGATTATTATGTCACTAATATCTATAGACTAAAACACTTATGCGAGTATCTAGCCATTTTCATGCATGTGATTGGGTCACTGCTAATACTCTTATCGGAGATGAGCGAAATTTGTATATTACGTATTAGAAATGGCCCAAGATGAAGAAAATAACCAGTTACTTATGTCAGGAATAGCGACAGGTGCTGATTTATTCACAGCGAATGCTACGTCATATCTCAGCATAACACTAAGTTTAAACATTTAGTAATGAAATATAGTAAATATGTATATCGATTTATAGATTATTTTATATATTTTATACGGTAAATGGTGGTGCTTTTCTAAAACTATTAATAGTGTTTGCGATGAATTTTTGTTGGTGAAACGGTATGTTTTCTGAGGATGATGATGCATTGCACTGGAGATAATACATAATTTTATATATTTAGTATATACAGTCATTTCTATAAATCGAATCAAAAACTCTAGCTGAATTTTTTGAATAAGCCAAAGGGTTCGGTTTAGAAAGTGTGACAGTATTTTCATTTAAGCCAAATTTTAAATTTTAACATAATTTAAAAAAATGAATAAAATTTACAAATAAATTTTACAAATAAAATGTACAAATAAAATATACAAATAAAATATACAAATAAAATATACGAATAAAATGTACAAATAAAATATTAAAATATATAATAAAATATACGAATAAAATATTAAAATATATAATAAAATATACGAATAAAATTGCTACGTAGCCTATCTAATTCACTCGAAACAACTTTTAAAGGTTAAAATATTAAATAATCATGTAAGTAATATAACCTAATATAACCTATATACATACATAAATCCTATTTATGGAATATATAGATGTACATATTTACATAAATTCATCAATATTTTTGTCTTAATCATTTTGCATAATTACTACAGTCAGGGAATATACCATATTTGGTCAATGTAGATCACACCTTATTTAGTAATGATCGTTGGCAGAATTGTTCTAGATTCCGTTTCTAGATTGATCTACAGATTATAGCTAAATATAAAGCCTTTAAAAAAAAATCATTATTAATCAACAGAAATAAAAAAAAAGCTTTATAGAAGCAGTTACCATCGAAATAATTATAATACAAAATCTAATATAACTAGTTTGTAAGAATTTGAAATAATTTAAGCTTGCCTACAAAGTTTCATGTTATAAAAGCATATACGCATCAACTCTGGTTATACCAACACTCCAAAGATAAAAAAATTATTTAGTATATTCATATGTCAGCTTAACCAGAGACATTTTCATAATAAGGATATATCGTAGGTTCAAAAAATTTTTTACAAAAATCAAAACAAAGTGTCGGTTAACTAGAATAATATGTATGAAATAAGTTCAATATTCTCAAGCTACCTATATTAAAATTTCACTTTCAATTTAAAATATAAACCCACTTATGGGTTCCAAATTTAATAAATTTTATTGTAACGCACAATATGAAACTACAATAAATATATAAATAAATAATCTATATTCGCACAACGCCAGTTCTATTTCAATAACGATTATCAAACTTAAATGCGCACTAGTGTCTTCATCTCAATAAAGTTTGAATTAAATGAATGCTTTCATCTTTCAACTTTAATAAATGTGGCGGCTGAAGCTAAGATTGGGGGTCTCTATTTAAATCAATAATATCTACTAAAATTCACTTGTACACTTATTAATAAAAATATCCCTAAACCATGACCTAATTCTAAAAAAAAAAGCTAAAAAAAAAGGCTCCAAAAAATTTTTAAAATTTAATATTAAAATATTTCAAAACCTCAGCTTCAGCCGATCTCAGCTTCAGCTGCCACAAAAATAATAACATACAATTATTACGAATTACTTATCTCTGCAGACTTTTAAATGCCTCGTAGTTATCTTTATTAACTCCAATTCCATTTTGACAAAACTAGCCAAAAAATGTACATTCTACTAGCAATGACCCATCTTAACCAATTTTTGATAATATTTGAACGCTTGGATTCATCCTTTTTGATTTCGACGAATTCAACTACATTATGAGATAGCGAAAATAAATTAATTATATTAGCTGCTTTCAAGCCATTTGCATTTCACCATTTACGATCTTTCATTTCACAAGGGCTTAATCCAGCTCCACTATACGTCCTACCTAAATTTTCGAAAACGCATGAAAGATCTTGCGCTTTTGATCTCTGGTATTTTGACACTACAAAAATTGTTTAAAATATCGTTTAGTTAACAAGAGCTTTTATTCCAACTAGCAGATTTGTGTTAAAAAAACCCGATCTTACGGTCTCATTTACTTTTTTTAAATCAACTTATAATAAGGGATTAATTGAGATGTTCGAAAATAGACATTTTAAACTAACTATTCGAATATCGTTTGGTAGCAAGTAAATGTGTAAAATTCTGTGAAACCTTGAGAAAAAGAGGGCGCAAGAAAAAGCGTGACAGAGCCAATCAAATTTCGCCAAATTTCATAGATCATTCTAGATCATCAATTCCAAATTTGGTAAATGCCCTGACTGTAGTAGCAGGGTGTTAGGTGTATCTGTACCATTTTCAAAGAAACTTTGTACTAGTGTTGCAAAGTCTGGTAATTGTACCTTATGTTTTGAACAGTATTTTGTAGCTGTTTCTGTTATCAGTTGATATAGGGTTGTTAGGTTCATTGGGCAGACCAACCAATGGGTATTATCCTCAATTGCCTGGGTGCATCTATTGCATGTTGGGTTTGTATATTTCTTTGGATATTGGTAGTGTAGGTTGAGTAGTGTTGGTAGCTCATCTAGTAGAAATTTGATCTTGAAGTTCTTTTTTATGATAGTTTTGGGTGTGTATACCTTGTGTGTAGTTTGTTGTCATAGTTAATAAACTGGTGAGTACTGTTCCAGTTTGTATTCTGTCTAATCTCTTGCCAACTATTTGTTCTGTTAAGTGAATGCCACTTAGCAGTATTTTTTGCATTTTGTAGATGTCGTATAAATCTACGGGTTTTGTGTTCTACTAATACATTATTCCAAGTCAAGTAGAAGTTACTATTATCTAGTGCATGTGGTATAAGTTGGATTTTGTGCTGCTGTGAGGTTATGGTTAGTTGCATTGTCTTTTGGAAAAGTGGGTGGTTTGCTCTTTGATCTATAAGAGTAAACTGTATATTTAGGTTTTTTTATGCAATAAGAATCTGGATAAGTTGCTTAAGAGGCCAATAGTTGTGTTTTTGGATAAGAATATTAAGGTTATTTGAGTATTGCATAACTGAATTAACATAATTTATTGTTGGTTTATGGGGTGTATGTATAGTTATCTTACTATTATGTGAAGCAATTGAAAGGATTGATATTATCCCAATAAGATATGCTCTAGTAGTAGATGGCCAGTACGTTATTGTAGCTGAGAAAGATATATTAGTTGGTGAAAGGGTCCAAGCAAAGCTTGCTTGGCTGTCTACAGTATTTGTGTTTGTTGTATTGGCATATAGATATAGCTGTAGATTTTTTGTTTGAGAGTTGATTTGGCTAAGATGTTGAAGGCGAGATAAGGCTGTGCCTATTGTAAATAGTTTATGTAATAAATTACTAGGCATAGTAGAACCTCTTGCAATATTGTTCTTGGTTAGTTTGTGTGTGCATCTCGTACTTAGTAGATTAAGCTTAGGGTGATGCTGCAATAGATCATTGATATCTGTGTGAAGTTGTTTTGTACTAGTTACTTTGATAATAATACACTGAGTAATTAGAAGATTAATAGTGCATTGGTAGTGTAAGTTTATGGCAGATGTGCAAGTACAGATTGTACATCTGGTTAGTACTGTTCTGTGATTATATATACTTGATGATGGTAACACCCAATGTGTAATTTGTAATTGGTTGTTGGGCATTGTTGTTTTTATTACTTGGCTTATTATAGCTAAATTCTTGTATTTGCTAAGTATCTATGCTCCACGTAAGAGTATGTTATTGTTGGTCATGAATGGGTTTGGATTAACAGTTGCAATATATGGTATTGTTGGATCTTGAAATGTGTCCTGCAGTATAGTAAACCATTTAGGGGTGTTGTCTGGTATTGTTTATTTATCTTATATAGTATATGGTGCCATTGAAGGAGATGTATATTAGTGTGATTGGTGAGCTGTTCAATAGCATATATGTTTGCTTTGTTTGTATATGTTTTGATATGGTGTGGTTTTTTGCAGTATCTAATTAGTATATCAATAGAGGTCTCAGGAAGTTTTATACAGATTGGCCAAGGGTTTGGTAAGTTAATAATGTTGATGTTAAGTTTATGTATTGCATAGATAGTTTGTGCAGTTAGTGTATTATGATATGTTTTTGGTAAGATAAACTGTGATGATTGTAATATATTTGTTGGTGAGTGGGTAGCATTTTGCAGGTGTTGTAAATATATTTTTATGGGTTTTGCAGTGATAGGATTGTTGAGTTGGTTATGCAAGTCTAATATATAGTTTTACTCTTGTATGTCCTATAGTTGTCTTAAGCCATAGATTTGGTGGTGGAATAATGTTGAGTTAGAGACAGTTGTTGCCAGCCCTGCTTTGTGTTTGACAACTTGTGTATATTGATTAGTGATTATACAGTTGTTGTTTTCAGGAATGTATGTGTTAAGCGTTTTATATGAAAATCGTGATATAAGTACTGTATTTATTATGTAAATTGCCTGCTTTTCTGTTATCTTTTTCTTTTTTAAAGTATTAATTAGATTGGTGGCCTCCTTTGTGATTTGTTTATAGATGTGTTTGTGGTTGCTGGATGCTGTAAACCAGTATTCCAGGTATCGAAAGGTTTCTTTAAGTGATATACTGGGTATGCTTGTGTTGGCGAAGATAATAGAAGAATTTGGATCTTTGGTGTAATTGGTTGCTAGAACTAATTTTGTAGGATTAATGGTGATATGTGCCATATCATAAAAAGATGAAACACGATTCACAATTTTTCGAAGTGTCTCTTTATTAGGGGCTAGCCAAAGGGTATCATCTATATAGGCTAGTACAGAGATATAATATGTTATTGGATTATGATTAGGAGGTTGTGCGGTCATAGTATAGCCTTGGAATTCATAATATATCGTGGTGATAAGTGGATCATTGTAGATGCACCAGAGGAGATGTGTAATAGTTTCGCCTTGGTCAATCTCATCATGTACTGGGTAAGGTAGGGTTGGTCCAAGGTTTGTTATAACTGAGTTTTGGTGATCTGTAAGAATATTTATAAGTAGTTGTTGTGTTTTGTTTGGAATTTTAATCTGTTTAGTGCGTATTGAAGTAAAGGTAGATGTACTAAGTCATATGCCTTATTCATATCCTGTGAAAGAAGTCAAACCTCTTTATTTTGAGTCTGAGCTTCTTGTAGAATATTTGTAAGGATGTGGATTGGTTGTGCTGTAGAATTATGTAGAGTTGCTACAAAGTTGTTTGGATGAAGTATTGAATACTGTGTCATAATTTGGCTGAGCCTGTTTGTGATAATTTTTGTAAAAATTTTATGTGTATGCTCTATAAGTGTGATGGGTCTTGTGTGGTTTAGTTGGCCGATAAATATGGGTTTTTTGGATATGGTGTATATTTTGCTGTGTTTCTATATTGTGGAGATATTTGAGGTCTCTAAGCATTTGTTAAATAGTATTGTTAGTAATTTGATAACATAAGGATGAGTGTGTTTCAACATCTCATTAGAGATGAGTAATGGTCCTGTGGCTTTATTGTTAGGTGATTGGTTTATAGTTTGGGTTACTTCCTGCACTGTAATAGGTTGGGTTGGTGTTTGATACCAGGATGAATCTATATGATGTTGTGGTATATATTTTTGTTTCTATTGCTCTCAAAGTATTGGATCGTTAGGATTGTACTTTGTTCAGTTTTTAAAGTAGCTTTGTATATGATTTCGAATCTCATAAGGATCTGTAATAATTGAATTTGATAGCTTAATGTTTTGGAATGTTACTATATCAGTATATCTATCCAGAATATTATTGATCATTGTTGTAGTATGTGATGTAAAATTGTCATATCTTTTCTCAATAAACTGGTGGATATGTTGTGAGAAGGCCTGTTGATTCTCTGTTTCTCGTGTATGATATAGAGTTTTCCGGTGTGTTTTCATTATATTGATAGTTTGCATGATATTGTCACTACTAATATCTTGTAAAACTAGATCTGTAATAAGAAGGTTGGATAGCTGCTGTATAGTATGAATTTTTTGATTTATTGTTTGGAGCGTTGTGTCATGGCTATGTAAGTAGTTGTTGGAGTTTTTATGTAGCATTACCAAAGTATGAAGTATGCTACCACATAAGTTTAGTGCAGTATGCATTTTGGTTACTTTAGGTGAGAAAGTGTTGTGCTGTTTTTGTGATCGCTGTAAGAAAGGTATATATGATTTTGCTGATTTGGTAATTGCTGTATTAATTTGATGCCAAAGTTGATTAATTGAAAGTGTATTTGCTATTTCTTCTGTAATTTGAGAAGTAGTATTTTGGGTATTTTGTTGAAATTGTTCCCAGAGTTCTGTTGTCATAGTGTTATATTTCTAGACCTTAAACTTATATTTCTTGTGGTGTTTAGATAGGTTAACATATAGCAGCAAATCAGTATATATAATGCAGTGATTGCTGTTTGTAACCTGAATTGCAGGTATAAGTATAGGTTGCATAACTAAGTGCGTAATTTGTTGAGGTATCCATATTTCATCGATTTGACTAGAGAGGGTATCTCTACTCCAAGTAGGTGAGTGAGAGTGGTGAGTATGAACTAAGGATATAAAATTGTGTGATTCAAAGTATTTGTATAGTATTGATCTTTGTTGTTTGTGTAAATCTTGGTTAAAGTCTCCCAGGATTATGGGTATGATCTGAAATTGGTAGGCTTGCTAGATCCATAAGATAGTCTGGTCTTGAGTTTTATTGTTTGTAAGCATGTCTTTTGGTAGATATACTGATATAATACGGAAGTTGTTTTTATATGGGAAGAATAAATCAATTGCGATTGTGGTGTCAGGTAATGTCTGAATGTTGTGTATATATGTTGTGAGTGTTTGAGTTATTAGAATAGCTGTGTCTGCACTAGATTCTCTAGGATGTAGAGCAGTTGTGATTGAATTATTAGATGAAAAGCATTTATATTACTGGTTATATAAGTTTCTATCTGTATATCTAGAATGTGCTAGTTTTGTTTCTGTAATTGAAATAATATCAAAATTTTGGGCTAAACAATAGTCAAACAGTAATCGTTTTTTTGTAATTTGATTGAGTCCTTGAGCATTGTGTATAGCAATTGTAAGTAGTTTAATTGTAGGTTGTGTTATTATTGATTAGTTAATTCATATCCATCGGCGTTGTATTAGCCTCTGGTGTAGTAGTAGAAGATAGATTTGTGTTAGAAAATACTGCCTAGGATGGGGTTGATAGTGGAGGTAACTTGAGTAAAAAACTAGGGATAGCTTTAATTGTGAAGTATTGATGCAGTGTTTGCATAGTAGGAGTTACTTGTGTTTGTGATGTAATTGGTAATATTAGCTGTATATTGTAAGAGGCTAGAGCTGTATTTATATCCTTTAAATTAGTTGGTATGGTGGTAAAAGTAATCCAATAGCATTTGTATCATTAGAGCTGGTGGTTATAGATACTTGACTTGGGATTTTTATCTATTATTCTGGTATTTTTGTAAAAAAGTAATGTTGCAGAGAAGTTTTACAGTTTGTGTAAGTTGCTGGGATGATATAATAGATATGGTGATTTTCTGTTCTGCTATAACCTGATCACTAGTAGGTAGACTAGGTTTGTTGGTAGGATTTGCCTGCATAATATTATATGGCAGTAGGAGTCATATTCTATATTTTTGTGAGGTTTTATACATGAAGTTTTGTGCTATAATATTATCTGTGATTGGAAAGGTAAATTGTGTACTTGTTTTTATATGCTCTGGATTTGAGAGGAGTAATGGTTTAGTTGCAAAATAATTATTAGGGAGGAGCTTGAATGTATAGTATTGTCATACTAAAGCTACTACGTCTGCTAGTAGTATATTTGTTGCATTTACGCAATAAGAAAAGAATCCTCTGACCTTTGGGTTTAGTTCCTGATATGTTGTAGGAAGTGGCTGTTTAGGTGGTGGGAGTTGAAAATATGTTTTGGGAATAGAGTCAACTATATAGTAATCTGCAAGCTTGCGATGATAGTATCCCAGATTTTGAAGAGCTTGTTGGTTCGTAATATGAAAATATTGCTGGAGTTCAGTGTGAATATTAGTAATATCCTCTGGTGGTGGTGGTAGTTTAGCAAAATATGACTCTGGGAGCTGATTGAATCTAAAGATTTTTTGTAGTCTATTAACTATAGCTTTGGTGTGTGAACGTTGTATAATAGGTAGATTGAATGGTAAAATCTGTTTGACTATATCTGGAATTTGCTCTGGCCTTTCAAGTAATGGAGCAAGTTTTTCTTGTAATGCCTGGTTAATTGCTATTTTGATTTCTCTAGGTGTATATTCATTTTTATTTTGGATCTGTAAGAAACCCCTGGTGTAATAAATTAGTTTGAATATTGCAAAGGGTGTAAGAATTACAAAATTTGTATTCATTAGATATTGTGAGATAAGCATTTTCTTTAACATCAAGTGAATTAGATTATGAGTATCTCAGTCTCTTGTGAATGTGGTGAAGAATCTTGTGTCTTGGTGCTTGAATTTTAGTTGTATTGCTGAAGACACTTCTATTTGAGTTGAAGTGGAACTAAGTTTGTGTACAACAAACTGCTAAATACTAGTTGCAGTTTGTAAGGCTGTTGCTATTGTATTATATAACCAGAGTTGTTGATCAAATGGTGTTTTGGTTCCTTCTGCTATCTTGTTTTGTATATGATTTGCCCACTCTATACTGTCTGATGCGTTAAAAGTTGGTAATTTAAAAGCTTTTTGTGTAATCTCACTATAGGATAGTTTTTGAGTAGGGTTGAGATCTATTGTAGTGGCTGAATGTGTTGGTGAGATTGTAGAAGGTGAGTGGATAGGTGGAGGTAGGTTTGTTAAATCAGTAATGATTGGTTGTAGCCTTGCTCATTTTTTTCTTTCTGATTTTCAGATAACTGTGTAGTTGGTCTGTATGCTGCGCGATCAGATGTGTTGCTTGTTAATCTATTGGCTTGTGTAGATGAACATTTATTAGTTCGATTGTATAGCTTGTAGTTTTGTTTTTGCTTGTAAAAGCTGTTGTGTTACTGTATACTGTTTGGGCGTTAGTATTGGTTATACTCTTTTGAAAGTAGGTATAGCATTATTTGTCTCTTTGTGTTGATGACCATCATCATCTGTATCGATTTCTGGTATTAGATTATAAGGAATTATTGGTAGTTCTTTTGAATATTTTGGTGCTACATAAGCTCTTTGTGTATCTTCATATGCTTTAATTGTTATCTCTAGATCACAGCTACGAGTACTTCTAGGTAATTTGGCATTAATGTTTACAAAGTTATGTTTAGAGTAGTTTGTAAGGTCAAATAAAATTGATTGAGTAATATTGTTATGCTTGCATATCCATTGTGCTAGGAATTTGACCAAATTTGAAATATATTCTAACCTAGTAAGGTCAATGGTGAATAAGTGTCTATCTGCGAAGTTAGGGATGATAAAGGTGACAGTGAAGATAAGTTTAGTCCAGTCTTTGATAGTAATGTTAATAAATTCTTTGGCGTATTCTGCTATTAGGTCTTTTTGTTGTGTACTAGAGGTTATTGTAACCTTTGGGTTAGTTGTCTTGTGAGAGAAGTAAGCTAGAGGGTAGGTAAAGAACCTGCTTTGTTGTCCAGAGGTATTAGAGTTCTGTTGTGTAGAGGTTTGCATTTAGCTATTATTTGCACTGCTGTCAACAGTTTGTATATTGTCCTGCAATGTTTCCTGAGATGGAGTTGACAGGTCTATAAAACCTTCGCCACTTACAGGTATAGAGTTGTAAGGAGCGTTGTTTATTTGTTTTTCATCCAGTAGTTGTTGTTTTGATGTTAATGTTTTGAAGAATTTATTGTTTTATTATATTTCTAGCTATGCTAGACAAGTTTACTTAAGGGCTCAGAATACGTTTAGTTAGTATTTTCTTAAGTTTTCTTCTTTTGGGGTTTTTTCTTTTTTGCTCCGGTTTTGGTAAAATTGATCTGTAGATAGAGTATTTATAAGTATATTTTTTCTCTTTCTATATTATATGCAATTACTGGCATCTTTTATCTACTATATACAATAATATCAAAATACTACTGAACAAACAAACTAATTCTTTTCTTATTAATTTCTCTAACAATCTTTTATCTTGGTATTGCCAAAAACTATGGTCTATTCATAATATTTTTAACATCAATGGGAACTCTCTCGAAATATTACCAGCAAAGCTAAACACACAAAATCTTACTTTTCTAACACATTTACTCCTTCAAATAATTCTTCAACAAGAATACAACCTCTAGACATTAATCTTTTTATCAATAAATAGCTCTTACAAGGATATGCTTTAACTGCATGCTTTACTTAATGCTATGACTATCACCTTAGATTTTCCTTTAACCTATCCTAGCTAGAAATTAGTTTGAAATAAATAACTATAGCATTTTATAGAAAATAGGAGGTGTAATATCACATTGGGTACCTTATGTAATACAAATGTAGTTTAGAAATCTTTAGGTTTAGAATTATTTTTCTATCTGTAATAAAGTTTCTACTATGGCATTATATAAATAAATAAAAAATAAATAAAATAAAAAATAAACTAGTAATACATACTTTTGTAACTCTAATTCACCAACTGACTTATCAATTAACTCATTAATTGACTTATTTAATTTGATAAGAAACAAATGAACTGCTATAATATCTTGACATTTATGTCCATGAATAATATTAAAGCTACAAGGGCAAGCAAATTTTCTATTTCTATGTGTAATGCATAATGATTTTGCGAAGTTTTTATTAGTCAAATTAATAGTTTCTGATTCTATACTATTTGATTTATACATGATTTTTTTTATCTTTTTTCTAATTCGGCTATCCTGTTCTTGTTTATTTAGGATCAAGTTATTCAAAATTACAAGTGATTTATCTTTAACTAAAGTAGATCCAACCAAACGAAGAACTTACCCACATGATTTTATATACCAAATGTGATCTGCCTTAGTAGCTCTTGGCCTCTCTCAGGGTCCTTAACTTACTAAGGACTTTTTCCCATTGTTTATTGGCTGGTGGCTACCCGCTCATCAAGAAGCAAAATTAGAAAAAACAAACAAACTAAAAAAAAAACACAGAGGTATAGGGGACTACGATAAAAGAATACAAAAATAAAAGAAAAAGAGGGTAAAGGGATATCGAAAAAAACAAAAACAAAACAGAAAATTTGCTAAACTTAATGCCATGGTTATAAGCCTGTGGGTAG